GCATAGGATGAGCTGATTGGTCCCTGGAAGTATCCTTAAGTCAGGTGATGATGTAAGTTAACAATAACTATCAATATGTATCCACATGGACCTAGAACCATGATTTGAGATAGGACAGTAGCTATCAATATGAAGGCATAGAATAGCCTTTCTTGATGTGAAAGACAATTTGTACATGATGTCAAAAGTAAATGCTGCAGCAATGGCAATATGTAAAATCATGTCAATCCTTTAACCTCATCCCCATAACCTATACAGAGTCAAGGACACTATAAACTATATGTCAACTACAAACTTTTGTAGCCTCAAAAAGCAGACACTACAAACTTTTCTAATGAAAAAGCAGACACTACAAACTTTTGTAGTCTGAAAAGCGGACACTACAAACTTTTCTAATGAAAAGGCACACACTACAAACTTTTGTAGTCTAAAAAAGCGGACACTATAAACTTTTCTAATGAAAAAGCGGACACTACAAAACCTTTTAATGTAACCGTAATTTTGTAGTCTAAGTCCAAGCTTTTGTAGTCTAAGTCTGACTTTTGTAGTCTTTTGTAGTCTATCAGTAAACTTTGTAGCCTATGTCCAACTTTTTTATAGTCTATCAGTAAACTTGGTAGTCTATATCTGACTCTTGTAGTCTGTCAGTGTTGATTGCTCTTTTAGGGAATGCACCTTCCTTTTTTGGTCAATTTTCCCACGATATGATATTTGTTGCCCTTTCATCTAGCTTTCTAAATGTGTTGGAATCATGTTATTTGGTTTTGTTTTCATGAAGAAAAATGCAAAAACCAAAAAAAACACGACACTTTTGGAATTCCTTTACCTCATATCTCCACAACAAGAGCACTTCAGAACATAATTCAACCAGATTCGGGAAGCTACAGTGCAGGGGTACAACTTTCGCTTTTTGACTATTTTTGGTAATTGGTCATGTGACCACCCTCCCAACAACCCATGTGATACATATCATCATTATTATATAGTTTTCGGTAATGAAGTGCCAAAGGGCCTAATGAAATATCCTAATGAAAATTCTATGAAATGGTAATGAAAACGCGAAGCAGCCTAATGAAATATCCTAATGAAAATTCTAAGAAATGATAATGAAAAAGCGCAGGAGCCTAATGAAATATCCTAATGAGAATTCTAAGAAATGATAATGAAAAAGCGCAGGAGCCTAATGAAATATCCTAATGAAAATTCTAAGAAATGGTAATGAAAGTGCCAAGGAGCCTAATGAAATATCCTAATGAAAATTCTATGAAATGGTAATGAAAAAGCGAAGCAGCCTAATGAAATATCCTAATGAAAAGTCTCAGAAATGATAATGAAAGGGCCAAAGAGCCTAATGAAATATCCCCATGATATCTCATTATCCTTGCCTATAACTTATGAAAGATTCCAGTGACAAATTGAATGAAATAGGTGGGCAATCCTAATGAGATGCCTTTCATAAAACCTGTGGCATTATACACAATGGCTCTTGGACAGTTGTCATAGATTAATCATAAATAGTGGTAGCCACTAGTGCCAGATACAGGACGAAGCTTGGGAATTGTGGTCGCCAAATTCTAAGCAACATCCCTTCCTGCCAGGGTTAGCCAATTCTCCTCTAAGGGTTGAGGTGGCGAGCAGAAAAGTAGATCGTCGCTGCGATGGCCACTTAGGTCGTTTCGACGCTTGCGTCTCACCTCAATACCAATTCGCTCAACCGTCGTGGGCCCCCCATGTTCGTCGACACTCCTACTCCACTCTAGAAAGTCCAGAGTTTGCCAATTTGGTGGAGATTACGGATGGTACCTCGCGCAGATTCATCAAATTCCGTTACATCGACGAACTGCTAGTACGAAATGAGAAGTTGGACATCCGCATCACCGAACTACAAGTCATCAGCCACAGTAATCCCGCGATCGCTCTGGAAGACACCTGGCGGTGGAACCGCCCAGTCGTGACTTCCGAGGACATCAATGAGCTCCGTACTATCGGTTCTTTCGATCGAGTTTTGGACGAGTTAACGCAACTACAACGAAACTTGAAAATGAAAGTGGCATGGATAGACATGGTAGAGAAACTTCAATCCACCCCTTCGTGGTCCCGAGCTTCCAATCGACCGTTCGAAATGGCGGACAACTCTTACATGGGGGTTTGGCTCAGTGACACGGATCAAGAGGATGTCGACTGGTTCTTGGCCCACCGCATCCCTTGCTTCATCGCCCATAAACTAAGAGGAGGAGAGTTGGAGCGTCTGATCGACGAGGGTTTTGGGAGGAAGGACCCTTCTTTCATTCATGGTACCCCAGTCGAAAACCTTAATACCCCTTTTAACGCTGTAGAAGCCCACCTCCGTCGACAGCACGTCATAATCACTCATTCCGATGAAGATAACGCCATCGGCAGTGAAGAACCACTGGATCCCCCAGAGGCTCTAGCTGCTTCCTACTCCCTATCCCAGAGACAGTGGGCGAGAGGAGGGGAAGCCCCCATCGCATACTCGTCCCTTCCATCCCATACCACCCACGATGCAATTCCTTCCTACCAAATCGACTTCTCGGACTGGGATGCTGACCCTCTCGACTACATAGAGATAGACCCTCATCGCGTTGCTTGGGTGCGTCCTCCGCCAGTTATTAGAAGCTCAGGCGGCAAATGGGAAAAATGGGCGGAGAAGACGATAGACAAGTTAGAGGGTCAGTTCTTCGTGGCCAAAGTGGGTCAGAACTATTCGGACTTCCATGGGGCGTCTTACTTCGATCGCGCAAATAATCGAGAGATCTTCCTACTAGAAGAAGCGCCATTACTCCCTGGCGTAGTCTCAGAAAGAGAGACTTTCGGATTCCCCTGTCCTCGTCACTTGCATTTCGTGGTAACTCCGCAGAACAAAGATCCCCGTCCCGCTAAGGCGTCCTCCTGGCTCTACCTCATTAAGGATCCCAAGCGTAATGACGTAGGTTTACGAGCCATGCAACCTGAAGCAGGAGCTTTACCTTTTAAGGATGAGTTCAGAGCAAGTGGTTCGAAACGACCGCCGTCTCCACCGCCCAGCCCTGGTCCCCCGGGTCCACCTCCACCTATGACGTTCATACCCTACTCGTCGCCCGAAACTAGGGGCATCAACGACGGCGAGCGGCCCATTTCACCCGCAGATTCCCTGCTAGCCGCTCCGCAAGAGGAGACATGGGAGCTAGATCTCGGAGACGACGCCATGGGGCCCCAGATTCCAGGAATTCCGTCCGAAGATGTAGAGATGAGCATGGTGGATTTGGGAAGTAACTCTCCCGAATTAACCAGTCAGCCTCTGCCACTGGACCATCCCCATTCCTCTACGCCCAATCAGCCTGCTCCCGGAACCTCCAGTTCAGCGCCAACCCCTCTCAGAACCACCACGGCCCCGCCTTCTTCCAGAGCCCGCACGAGAATGCCTCGTCAGAGTTCTCCTCATAGAGCTAGCCGAAAACACGGCAGGAGGCGATCTCGCACTCCTTCTCCACCACGAAGGAGAGGAGATTCCTACCGCCCAACCGGCGAGGAGGACAGACGGCGCAGTACTAGACGTCCCTCTGAGGCAGTTCCAGCTCCCCCTCCCCAAAACCCTTGGTCCTCTCCGACGCTTCCTGCTCCTAACTCTTGGGCACCCGCTAATCCCTATGCTCAGGGACATAATTCTATGTCTTGGGGACCACCTCCGGGTTACATGCCATGGGGTTTTAATCCTCAAGCTCCCGCTCCCTGGTCCGTTCACTATCCTGGGTACTACCCTACGGAGAACAGCGCGCCTAATTGGCCCTTGCCGGGATATCCGTTCGTGCCACCTCATAACTGCTTGTCGTGTCACAACTGTGCGTCCTGCGGTCGACCAACCGTTCTATCTCATGACGACACTGAACGACATTCCCCTCCTCATGTGCCATCCAGCTCTCCATTGTTAGGTAGGCTACAATCACCGCCTCTGACAACTACTGGAACCCCCACCTCGTTCACTCCACTCTCTCAACGGCTGAGGAATCCGGCTCCCCTACTCAGCCGTTTCACTCCTTCGTCCTCGCTGGCGCAATGGATGCAGCCCTCTTCATCAGAATTTTTACAGGGGTCGTCCTCCAGACCCTTAGCTGGCCCAAGCTCAAGGACTTTGGCTCAGCGGATGGGAACGGATCCTGAGGACGGAGAGCTACCAGATTGGGACGAGGACGAGTCGACGAGCCAAGCACGTAGGAGCCGCAGAGGAGGTCGCAAGGAACGGGAACGGGACAAGCGCCGAGCTGCGCGCGGTGAACCGCCGGCTCCAGGCAAAGGCAAGAGGAGGGATAGGAGGGGCAGAGGTGACGACGATGGGTCTTTCGTTTGAATGGGTAATCCGATTCTGCTCGCAGGGGGGCATTGTGATACGGAGTTCTATGCGCGCATCATCATATTACTAATCGGCCCTATTTCGCTAATATCTTGTAATCAAAAGTACTTAGACATAAACCATATTCATCTTGCTACCAAGCTCGCATGAAGTGTGTCCTGTGTCCACTGCTGGTAAGACCAAAGGGCGAGCTCCCTGCATAATGCTCCCTCCTCCACAGGATACGAGAGCCCTCCTCTGGGTTAACGAGGGTCTGCCTAGGACTTCTAGGCAACCCTAGGAGACGAGCGCAACCACAACAGTTGCGTTCTCTCCTATCACTTCTATTCATCTACTCTACACTACGACATTCGACTACGGTACTACGAGACTTCACACGCACGAAGTCCCCGCACGCACTGAGGCTTCACACGGCCAGGTAGTGTCGTACGTGCGCCAGCTAATGAAGGGCTATGATATGACGTGGGATGAGGTTGTGGAAATGCTTGTTGCACTGCATGGTAGTCTCGAGCGTGCCGTGTGGTCAAATGAGATGGGTGAGGCTGAAGCCAAAGAGAGGCTCAATCAGTTGAACGCGCCTCCGGATGGAGTGGAATTCGGTGCCATCGGTGTGAGTCACTTCAGTGATCTCGAATTCAATAATATTTTCTCATAAGAAATCCTCTAGCGTAAACCCAGCCGTAAGAGCC